CTACTACTACTACTACTACTACTACTACGACAAAAATACTACTATTACTACCACCACCACTACTACTACTAATACTACTACTACTACTACTACCACTACTACTACTACCACTACTACTACTACTACTACTACTACTACTACTACTACTACTACTACTACTACTTACTACTACGACTACGACTACTACTACTACGACTACTACTACTACGACTACTACGACTACTACTACTACTACTACTACTACTACTACTACTACTACTACTACTACTACCTATACTACTACTACTACTACTACTACGACTACTACTACTGACTACTACACTATACTACTTACACTACTACTACTACTACTCCTACTCCTACTCCTACTCCTACTCCTACTCCTACTCCTACTCCTACTCCTACTCCTACTCCTACTCCTACTCCTACTACTCCTACTCCTACTCCTACTCCTACTCCTACTCCTACTCCTACTCCTACCCCTACTACTCCTACTACTCCTACTCCTACTCCTACTCCTACTCCTACTCCTACTCCTACTCCTACTCCTACTCCTGCTCCTACTCACTTCTCCGCCTGCCCCCCGTTCCGTTCTTCGCATCCCCGCCCCCCCCGTCCCCCGCTCCCCCCTCGACCCCCTTTCCTGCCCTCCCCTTGCCTGGGTGCCACTGCCCCCCACCCACCCTCTCCCGCGCGGAGAGCGAGGCCGGCCTGCCTCTGCTACATTGGTCGAACGTGGACGTCGGGGAGCTGCGCGACCTGGCGAGGCGGCCCTCCCGCCTCGGAGGGGCCCTCCCCACCTGCCAGCCTGCTCCTTCCGCTCTCCTCCTCCTTTTTCTTCCCTGCTCCTTCCTCCCTGCTCTCCTGCTGGTCCTCCTCCTCCTGCTCCTGCTCCTGCCCTTGGTGCTGCTCCTGCTGCTGCTGGTGCTGGTGCTGCTGCGCACGAACATCGAAACCAAAGGGTTGCAGCGACCACGGCGCGCACACGCATTCACATGCACGGACGCGGGGCAGGAGAGGGGGGGGGCAGCTTGCTCCGCAGCCTCGAAGTACTCGTCGACGGGAACGAAAGTCTGCAGGGCTTGCGAGGCTTGGCGTCCCGATCGACCTCGGGCGTTGACGACGGCTTCGCCAGGCTGCAATGGGCGCCCGCAAGCGCGTGGGCAAGGGTCGGGGAAGGCGGTGAACATCCAAGCTGGGGGAAGCCTCCGAACCACTTCAAAAGCGTGGTGAATATTAGCTGTGAGCAGGTCCTGACGGGTAAGAGAGCCGTGGCGCGAAGACGAGAACGCACTGGCCCTGCCCTGAGCACTCTGAAAGCGACTGCATGAATGGGCGAGTTGGGAGCAGGATGGCAGCGCACGAACCACCCCCCGTTCATTGGCCCACATGCTGACCCCCAGGGAGGTAATTCCTTTGAAAAGCCAGCTGTGATCACACATACACACTGTTCCACGCATTAGGAGCAAACCATGGCCAACCCCACGGGCGAGCAGCGTCTGTCAGGATCAGAGCGCAAGCTTTCGCCCCAGGTCGCTAAGAGCTCCTTGTCTGCGTGGCCACGACGGCCATCACACGTCCCGCCCGAATGGCTTGCAGGATTGTCCCTCCTCCTCCTCCGTTGCCATTTTGGCTCAAGCCATGTTCGCTCAAGATGCGCGTGTGCCCGTGGCAGGGCACGGATACTGCTATTCCACGGCGGGCAAGGTTGCCTTGACTGCGGGGTGGGCACCTTCACTACTTCGCCTGCGCTGCAAGTTTGGGCTCCCGCTTCCAAAGGTTGCCATCCATTCCTGCGCGACCACGAGAGTGACGCCTTTCAATATGTATCCCAGCAAGCATAAATATCGATACGATGCCTGTTCCCGACTGTGTCAACAAGCGTGTTCGGAACATTGACAGGCCGAATGGTCGCCGTGCTCGGGCTTCTCCTGGTGCTGGTGCTGGTTTGGACGGTACCGTTCCTGCCGCTCCTGAGACACGCCGGATGGATGGTAATGGTTTTGATTACGGGCCGATGTCAGAACTACATGCGCATGCAGTGTGTGTAAGTGTGTAAGTGTGTAAGTGTGTAAGTGTGTAAGTGTGTAAGTGTGTAAGTGTGTAATGTGTGAGCGTGTGTGTGAGCGTGTGTGAGTGTGTACGTGTGTAGGTGTGTAAGTGTGTAAGTGTGTAGGTGCATAAGTGTGTAAGTGTGTAAGTGTGTAAGTGTGTAAATGTGTAAGTGTGTAAGTGCGTAAGTGTGTAAGTGCGTAAGTGCGTAAGTGCGTAAGTGTGTAAGTGTGTAAGTGTGTAAGGGTGTAAATGTGTAAGTGCGTAAGTGTGCAAGTGTGTAAGTGTGTAAGTCTGTAAGTCTGTAAGTCTGTAAGTGGGTGAAGTATGTAAGTGTGTAAATGTGTAAGTGTGTAAGTGTGTGAGTGTGTGGGTGTGTGAGTGTGTAAGTGTGGAAGTGCGTAAGTGTGTAAGTGTGTAAGTGGGTAAGTGGGTAAGTGTGTAAGCGAGTAAGCGTGTAAGTGTGTAAGTGCGTAAGTGTGTAAGTGTGTAAGTGTGTAAGTGTGTAAGTGTGTAAGTGCGTAAGTGTGTATGTGTGTAAGTGTGTAAGTGTGTCAGTGTGTAAGTGTGTAAGTATGTAAGCGTGTCAGCGTGTAAGCGTGTGTGGGTGTAACTGTGTGTGTGTGCGTGTGTGTGTGTGTGCGTGTGTGCGTGCGGGCGGGCGGGCGGGCGGGCGGGCGTGCGGGCGTGTGTGTGTGTGTGTGTGAGAGAGAGAGAAGATATCTCTCGCCCACATCCAAAAGACGTTCGGCGAGGTGGTGGGAACCACGGGTGCTGCCACAGTCAAGGCCGAGTCGACCTGCCGCCACCAACGTCAACGCGTGCCTCGCCAAGAGCCCGCAGGACCTGCAGGCCTGCCCCGCGAAGCTGGACAAGCATATCACCGCCGAAGATGGATGAACTTCGACATGAGCTGGTCGTTCGCATTGATGATGTCGATGCTCAACTCCGTGAACATACCTCTCGCCTGTCGGACCACGACGCGCTCCTGGCGCAGATGGCGGCACAGATGAAAGCTCTGGAGGAGGCGTTGGCCATGGCGAATAAGCAGACCCCGAACTCGATCCAGATCTCGACAGCGTCCCAGTTCGATCGAAAGACTCATTCGTACCAGGGCCAACTCTTCGCTCGTGCTGATGCCAAGTCTACGCTCAAGGAGTGGATGGCGGAGATCGCGGTGGCCGTCGACCAGTACGAGCTGACCTCCACGGACCCGGTGTCGAAGCAGTTCGTTCTCAAGGTCCTGGGTGCACCATGCTTGGCTGCTCGTCGCGCTGGCAAGGCCTTATGGAGCGTTCGCATGTTTCGAGGAGAATGGCGTCAATTCGAAGTATCTGCTCATGCTGGAAGTGGCGATGTGCGACTTCGAATTTCACGCGACAGGAACCCTCGCAATATCAAGATGAATAGCATCGACTAAGAGTGCCGTGCATAAGCACTTGCCAGATGTCAAAGTGTTCTTCGACCGCGATCGGGGCTGGGTCTCGCTCGGGCGGGATGTGTTGTGCAAGATCGGCCCGAAGCCTGGCCGCGACTAGACTGATGCGCTGTGCAATCTTGCCACTGTTTGGAAGCTCGGCCTGGACAAGGCAGGCCTCGCGGCTGCTACCCGTGGCGCCCTCGAGCCCGATGCGGTGAGGTTGTTTTAGGAGCTTCCAAGGGGGCATTCTTAGAGCCTCTTTGGGGGGGGGAGCCTTCTGATGGTTCTTGTGGGGCGCCTCCTGAGGCCTCATTGGGGCCGCGTGGGGACCTCGTGGGGGGCTTTGGGAGGCTTCTTGGGGGCCGCGTGGGGTCCTCGTCAGGGGCCTCGTGGGGGGGCTCGTGGGGGCCTCGTGGGGGTTTCATGCGAGGCCTCTTGGGCGCCTCCTGGGGGCTTCTTTAAAAAAAGGGACTGCGGCCTGCAAAGAGAGGCCGTCACTTCACTCTTTGTTTTTTTTTTCTCTCTCTCTCTCTCTCTCTTTCTCTCTCTCTCTCTCTCTCTTCTCTCTGCCTGTCTCTCTCTCTCTCTCTCTCTCTGGGCGGTCGTGGGCCCCCCCTTCTTTGGGCGCTTTTGGGGGGCCGTCTCCTGGAGGTCTGCGCGGCCGTCTCGTGGGCCACCTGGGCCGCCTTGGCGCTTTTCATGACCAGTCGTCATGTGGTGTCGGGCCCTCCTTTCCACCACCCACCAAACCACCCCAACCCAACCCGAAGCCCTCAATTAGCCTTCCATTTCCAGTGGGGGGGGGGTCGGGGAACGTTGAAAAAAGAGCGAGCGGCACATACAGTGGCCCCCGGCCCATCCCTTCACCGCGCCAGGGTTGCAGGTCAGAGGCCTTTTTTCGGATGCATGTTGGGATGGATTGGGAGGCCTCTCGGAAGCCTCCCGGAAGTAGTTTTGGAGTGTCTCGGAGCCTCGTGGGACGTTTTTTGTTTGACCTCTTGGGGCCCTGTGGGGCTTCTCGGTGGCGGCTGGTCCGACACATGCCTTCGCGATTCATCATCGTCCGCGGACTCCTCCTCCTCCTCTTCCTCGTTCCACAGTTCGTTCGGCTCCAGCTGTTTCTGTTGACCAGCCTTGCCACACCGCTCCTCACCAGCGCAATGCCCCGCCGCTCGTCGTCCCACATCGCCGCCGCCGCGCTTTGCGTGGCGGCCGTGATGTGCCTGGCCAGCCTTGCAGCGCCCGCGTTCGTGCCAGCGCCGGCCGCCCCCGCCGAGACAGCCGTCACGCCGGCACGCGTGGCTCAGATGGCGGTGCTCGGCGCGGCGATCACGGCACCCGAGGCGGCACACGCGGCGAACCAGGGGTACGCGGTGCTGCAGCTGGGCTGGGCCGTCTTCATCATCGGTCTGGGCCCCGCGGTGCTGTTCTGGATCTACTTCAACAAGCCGGAGCTGCTGTGAGCGGCCTATCGCCTCGAGTCCCTCGCGAGGTTCTGCTGCCACTTAGTTTGCGGGACACGCCCGGGGCACACAGCCTGTCCGAGGCGGGGATTTATACATAACCACCGCCTGGAGGGTCGATGTTCGCCGACCTCCGCAGGCGGTGGATCCGCACATATTCTTGACGTTTCCCGCAACCACACCAGCCCATCCAGCAACGATTTCCAGACGAGTTGCCTTGATCAAAAATGTGGGAAAGCATGCAGAGGAACAAAGGGCTGGAGAAACCGTCGTACCCGAAGAGGGGGAGGATGGAGGAGGAATTGGAGGAGGAAGAGGAGGAGGAGGAGGAGGAGGGAGGAGGAGGAGGACGAAGAGGAAGAGGCGGAGGAGGAAGAGGAAAATGGCGAGCTTGGGGGCCTCTCGGGGCGTCTTGGGCGCCTCGTGGCGGTCCCGGCGGCCTCTTTGGGTGCCTCGGAGAGCCGCTTGGGGCCTCTGGAGGGTCTCTTGGGAGTCTCTCGGGGGAGTCTTGGGGGCATCTTGGGGCCTCCTTGGCGCCTGTTGGGGCCCTCTTGGAGCGCTTTTGGAAGCCTTGGAGGCGCTTTTGGAGCCATCTTGGAGGAGGTCGCTCAAAAAAGGGGGGGTACCTAATCAGCCCTGCCCCTCTAGAGCACCAGAATTGCCTCTTGGACCCTCTTGGAGCGCTATTGGGCGCTCTTGGAACCGTTTTGGGGCTCTTTCGGTGCTCTTAGGGGCCCCCTTAGAGCTTTCTTGAGGCCTCGGAAGGCCATCGAAAGCAAAACGGCGAGAAGGCCAAATTCATTGATTTTCCCCAGGTGTTTGAAGGATGTTTTCCTCTTGGCGGCCTCCTGGGGAGGTTTCATGGCCACTTGAAGCGGTCTTGGGGCCTCTTTGAGCATCTTTGGAGCCATCTGGAGCCACCTTTGGCTATCTTGAGCCATCTTGGAGGTCATCTTGGGCTTTCTGAGACCCTCTTGCTGCCATCTTGGGCCATATTGGACGCACCAACGCCTCGCGACCCCCCCCCCTCCAGGTCCAAGGGAGGGGGTAGGGGGAGGGGTCAAGACCCTTTCCCGCCCGCAAGCCGTCTCGCTCACTCCCACCCGCCCTCCCAACACATACGTAGCACCCGAGTCTGGCCTGAGCCTCAACATATTCAGCAGTCGTCTTTGGATGGGTAGCTACTGGGGGCCAATCCGCCGCCGCCACCGCCGCCTCCGCCGCCGCCGCCGCCGCCGCCGCCGCAGCCGCTGCCGCTACCGCCGCCGCCGCCGCCGCCACCGCCGCCACCGCCGCCGCCGCCGCCGCCGCAGCCGCCGCCGCAGCAACCGCCGCCGCCGCCGCAGCCGCCGCCGCCAAGTGTACTCTGTATTGTTTGTTGACAGGGATGGTGGGGGGGGCGCACCAGGTTGGCTGCGCCTGTTCCGAATGTGGAGGCAGAGTGTGGTTTGCATTGTTTTGTTACAAGGGATGGGGGGTGGGGGGGTGTCGTCATGGACCTGGGTTGGCCCCCAGTCGCCTGGGGGAGGGGGTGTATATTCATAGAGAACAGTGATCAAGAGTCCCCCGTCCCGCCCGCAAGCCGTCTCGCTCACTCCCACCCGCCCCCCCCAACACATACGCAGCACCCAGCCTGGCCCGAGCCGCAGCATATGCAGCAGTCGTCTTTGGATGGCTAGCTACTGAAGGCCGATCCGCCGCCGCCGCCGCCCGCCGCCGCCGCCGCCGCGCCGCCGCCGCCGCCGCTGTCCGCCGCTGCCGCCGCCACCGCCGCCGCCGCCACCGCCGCCGCCGCCCCCGCTGCCAAATCGTCGCCGCCGCAGCCGTTGCCGCCGCAGTCGCTGCCGCCACCGCTGCCGCCGCCGCCGCCGCCGCCGCCGCCGCCGCCGCGGCCGCCGCCCCCGCCGCCGCCGCCGCCGCCGCCCCCGCCGCCGCCACCGGCAGCCGCCGCAGCCGCCGCCGCCGCCAAGCGTACTCTGTAGTATTTATTTGACAGGGATGGTGGGGGGAGGCCGCATCGGGTTCGCTGCGCATGCTCCGAATTTGGAGGCAGAGTGTGTTTCGTAGTGTTTGTTACAAGGGATGTTTGGGACAGAGTGTGTGTTGTACTGTTCTTTTACAAGGGATGGTGGGTGGGGGCCCGCATGGACCTGGGTTGGCTCCCGGTCGCCTGGGGGAGGGGGTGTATATTCATAGAGAAAAGTGATCAAGACCCCCTTTCCCGCCCGCAAGCCACCTCGCTCACTCCTACCCGCCCTCCCAACACATACGCAGCACCCAGCCTGGCCCGAGCCGCAGCATATTCGGCAGTCGTCTTTGGATGGGCAGCTACTGGGGGCGAATCCGCCGCCGCCGCCGCCGCCTCCGCCGCCGCCGCCGCCGCCCCGCCCCGCCCGCGCGCGCGCCGCCGCCGCCGCCGCCGCCGTTGTCCGCTGCAGCCACCGCGGCCGCCGCCGCCGCCCGCCGCCGCCGCCGTCGCCGCAGCGCCGCCGCCGCCGCCGCGCGGTTTCCGCTGCCGAATCGCAGCAGCCGCTGCCGCGCAGCCGCTGCCGCCACCGTTGCCGCCGCCGCCGCCGCCCGCCGCCGCGCCCCCGCCGCCGCCGCCCCCGCCGCCGCCGCCGCCACCGCCGCAGCCGCCGCAGCCGCTGCAGCCGCCGCAGCCGCCGCCGCCGCCAAGTGTATTATGTATTGTTTGTTTTTGTCAGGGATGGTGGGGGACGCCGCATCGGGCTCGTTGCGCATGCTCCGAATTTGGAGGCAGAGTGTGGTTCGCGTTGTTTTTACAAGGGATGGTGCGGGGGGTCTCCATTGTCTCGGGTTGGCTCCCAGTCGCCAAGGGGAGGGGGTGTATATTAATAGGGAACAGTGATCAAGACCCCTTCCCGCCCGCAAGCCGTCGCGTTCACCCCCACCCGCCCTCCCAACACATACGCAGCACCCGAGTTTGGCCCGAGTCGCAGCATATTCAGCGGTCGTCTGTGGATGGGCAGCTACTGGGGGCGAATCCGCCGCCGCCGCCGCCTCCGCCGCCGCCGCCGCCGCCGCCGCCGCCGCCGCGCCGCCGCCCGCCGCCGCCGCGCCGCCCGCCGCCGCCGTCCGCCGCCGCCGCCGCCGCGCCGCCCCCCGCCGCCGCCGCCGCCGCCGCCGTCGCCCCCGCTGCCGAATCGCCGCCGCCGCGGCCGTCGCCGCCGCAGCCGCTGCCGCCACCGCGCCGCCGCCGCCACCGCCGCCGCCGCCGCCCCCGTCGCCGCCGCCGCCACCGCCGCCGCCACCGCCGCAGCCGCCACAGCCGCTGCCCCCGCCGCAGCCGCCGCAGCCGCCGCCGCCGTCAAGTGTATTTTGTATTGTTTGTTTTGTCAGGGATGGTGGGGGGAAACCGCATCGGGCTCGTTGCGCGTGCTCCGAATTTGGAGGCAGAGTGTGCTTTGTATTGCTTTTGTACAAGGGATGGTGGGGGGGGGGGCGCATTGTCCCTGGTTGGCCCCCAGTCGCCACGGGAGGGGGTGTATACGAATAGGGGACAGTGATCAAGACCCCCTTCCCACCCGCAAGCCGTCGCGCTCACCCCCACCAGCCTTCCCAACACACGAGTAACACCCAAGCTTGGGCATGTTCATCGGTCGTCTTTGGATGGACAGCTATTGGGAACCAAAGCCGACCCCAGGTGCGCGACGTTTGGGCGAGGTGCGCCACGCGTGCCAGAGACGCCACGCGCGCCAGGCACCCTCGGGGCCCGAGCGTGCCAGGCACGCCTGGTGCGCCAGATGCGCCACGTGTTCCGAGTGCGCCAGGTATGCCACACACACACACACACACATTCCAGCCGCGCCAGGTGCGCCACGTTCGGGGCACGTGCAGAGTGCGTCAGGTGCGCCTGCGCACGCGACACCACACATCATCGGGAAACATGTCGGCCCCCACCATCCTTGTCGGAAACCACAGCCCATCATTGTGTCAGGTGGGCCTGCGCACAGCAGGCCACGCGCCACCACCCCCGCCGTCCCTGTCAAAAACCACTTGACAGTGATCGCGGGGTGGCCGCGCACCATCCAAATTTAGCCGCGAGGTGCATGTTATATTGTTTTTGTGGATCAGACATGGTAGCCCTGTGCACAGCAGGGAATATGCTGACACCGCCAGTTTTGTCAAAACAATACTAAGTGCTCGCGGGCCTCACGACCTGATTCAAGACGTTGCCCAAAAGTGTATGTTGTATTGTTTTTTTACAAGGATGGTGAGAGGGCGCATCGGGTTGGCCGCGCATGCTCCAAATGTGGAAGCAGAGTGCGTTCTATACTTTTACATACATATATGTATATAGATATACATACATACATATATACATACATACATGCATACATACATTCATACATTCATACATACATACATACATACATACATACAGACAGACAGACAGACAGACAGACATGCATGCATGCATGCATGCATGCATGCATACATACATCGATACATATGTATAATTATATGCATATATATATATATATATATATATGTTGACAGGAATGGTGGGGGGGTGGCCCGCATGGGGTTGGCATGGTTCCGGGTGGGCCGCCGCCCGGGTGGAGGAGGGGGTGCATATGTATAGGGAACAGTGGTAAACCCTTCCCCGAAGGGGAAGAAGGGGGTTGGAAGAGAAACCGCTCTAGACCACCTACGCCCAGAGGGCTGATGGGATTCGGGGCCCCGGGTTCCAAAATATACCCATATCCACAGCTCGTTGGGCCCCCAGGACGTCGATTCCCAGGCGGTGGATCTGGATAAATCCGCGCCTCGCGCCTGGGGCACGTAGCCTGAACGCGGCTGCGATGTGTGAAGTGTTTTTTGTCCACCAGTAAGTAGGCCCTCTGTAAGCAAGCAGGCTCGCGCTGGACAAAAGGTGCGTGTTCTCTTGCACTGATGTGTTCTGGAGCTCGGAACCCTTCACTTTCGTCATCTTCTTCGGCCGTCGCGAAGCTCTCTGGCCCGAGGCCCCCCCAGCCTGCCTCGATAGGCCCGGAGAGACTTGTCCGAACGTCGTCGTCCCCTGCCGCCTGCTTCCCTCATTTGGTTGCCTACATGGCTGGATTGGTTGTGTTGATTGATTGACCAGTTCATTGGCCACTCGGCTGGATGGTTGATTGGCTAGCCGGTTTGCAGGCTGGCTGCTAGGATGGCTAGCTGGAATGATGGCGGTTCGCTGAAAAGAAGGACACCAAAAGAAGCGAAAGACCCAGGGCGTGTTGTATGAGTTATTGTGGTTGGTCGCGCAGGGTCGTTGCATGTTGCGAGTGGTCGTGTTTGCGCGAGCACAGATCGCGTTACTAGGGGTGTGGTTGCACGTGCGGAAACCCATCATGTGCTTGTTCAAGAGAATATGGCATTGGGAACACGAGTCCGTCATCGCTGCGCTTTGTTACAAGGACCGTGGCTTCGGACAGCGGACCAGCAGTTTCTTGCTGCGTCGTTGTCTCGGGAGCGCAGAACCATTGCAACAGGTCCTCGTCGCCGTCGGCGGCAGCGGATGGGGTTGCGTAGGAGGAGAAGGAGGAGGAAAGGCAGGAGGAGGAGCAGAAGCAGAAGGAGCAGGAACAGCAGTGCGAAGAAGAAGAAGGATCAGGAGGAGGAAGATGAGGAGGAGGAGGAGGAGCAGGAGGAGCAGGAGGAGGCAGAGGAAGAGGAGGAGGGAAGGATAACCAGGAGGAGCAGGAGGTTGAGCAGGAGGAGGAGCAGGAGGAGGAGGATGAGGAGGAGAAGGAGGAGGAGGAGGAGCCAGAGGAGGAGGAGGAGAAGAGGAGGAGGAGGAGGAGAAGGAGGAGGAGAAGGAGGAGGAGGAGGAGGAGAAGGAGCTGGAAGAGAGGAGGAAGAGGAGGAGGAGGCGGAGGAGGGGAGGAGGAGGTGGAGCAGGAGGAGGAGGCGGAGCAGGAGAGGAGCAGTAGGAGGAGGGGGAGGGAGGAGAGGAGGAGGAGGAGGAGGAGGAGCAAGGAAAGGAGATAGAGAGCAGGAGCAGGAGCAGGATCCCAGGAGGAGAGGATCATCTGGAGGAGGAGGTCGCAGCAGGAGGAGGAGGAGGAGGAGGTTGAGGAGGAGGAGGAGGAGGAGGGGAGGAGGAGCAGGAGGCGCAGGAGCAGCAGAAGGAGGCAGAGGAGGAGGAAGAGGAGGAGGAGGAGGAGAAGGAGGAGTAGGAGAAGGAGAAGCAGGAGGGGAGTGGAGGAGGAGGTGTAAGAGGAGGAGGAGGGAAGGAGGAGGAGGAGGCTGATCAGGAGCAGGGCAGGTGGAGGAGGAGGTGGAGGAGGGAGGAGGAGTGGAGGAGGAGTTTGAGCAGGAGCAGGAGGAGGAGAGGAGGAGGAGGAGGAGGGGGGAGGAGGGGCGGAGGAGGAGGAGGAGGCGGAGGCGGAGGCGGAGGCGGAGGAGGAGGGAGCAGAAGGAGCCCCAGCCCGCCGCCTCTCGGGCGACCGCCCCCCTCGTCCGTAAGGGGAAGGAGGAGGAGGAGGAGGAGGAGGAGGAGGAGGAGGAGGAGGAAGGGCCCAGGCGTGGCGATCTGTCGATCAACGTCCGAGCAACGTATCAAAATGAGGAGGAGGAGGAGGAGCAGGAGCAGGAGGAGGAGTAGGCTTCTTGCCTGATCAACGTAAGAAGGAGGAGGAGGAGGCAGGAGGAGGAGGAGGTGGAGGAGGAGGAGGAGAAGGAGGAGACGGTGGAGGGAGAGGGAGGAGTCCAGCTTGTCGAGTGCGTGTTGGCCTCGGGGGGGCCACGAGAGAGCGTGAGCGTGCTCCCTCAAGCGAGTGGGTAGGTTGGGCAGGCCGTTGTGGCCGCGGCCTCCCCGCCGCGGCGCGCCCGCGCTGCCGCGGCCGCGCCTGACCGCCCCAAAGCGTCGAAGAGCTCGGAGAGGAGGAGGAGGAGGAGGAGGAGGAGGAGGAGGAGGAGAAGGAGAAGGAGGAGAAGGAGGGCGATAATGAGGAGGATCAAGGGCGATGCCCAGAAGGATCAAGGATGAGGAGCAGAAGGAGGGCGGCCCCCCTGGGCTTTCGACCGCGGGCGTTCCAATGCACCAGGAGGCTCAGGCGTGGGCATCGTATCGCAGGTCGGGGACCAGTCAGCAGGGTGTCCTCAGAGATGCTCTGCGGGAGGGAGGCCGGCACCCGCCCTGCACGTCAGTCTGTCCCTTCACAGCAAGCATCGCGTGTCCATTCCACCGGCTTGCATCCCTAGCCCGAGCCAGGCGGGTCGCCGAGCATTTCGGGCTCCCCACCACGTTCACGCCGGAGCAGTCTGTGAGCTTCTTCGACTTCTCAGACACCCACAGGCACGAGCAGGCGATAATATTCAAGCAGGACTTGCGCCATCCACTGGGCAAGCAGGAGGCGGAAAAGAGCGGAAGGGATGGAAATCCGCCGACCTTTCGGCGTGTGTGAAACGCTTTTCCGCTTAAGTCGGCGTCGTCGCCGTCGCCAGTTCCAAGGAAATTGAGGTACGAGGAACGCGAATTTCGTAGTTAAGTCGATCCCATTCCCTCTTTCCCTCCCCTGACGGGGAAGGGGGGTGTCCTGGGTCAGAAGGGGCAGACAGCCCTCTCCTCCCCCTCCTCCCTCCTTCCCTGCTCATTCTCGTCTTCCTCCTCCTCCTCCTCATCCTTCTCCTCCTCCTCCTCCTCCTCCTCCTCCTCCTCCTCCTCCTCCTCTTCCGCCTCCTCCGCCTCCGCCTCCTCCTCCCCCACCCTTGCCCATGGGCACCGGCGAAGTGCAACGTCATCCGCCAGAGAACGAGGGCCCAGGCCCCACCCTGGTACGCAGCCGGTTGATGGCGCCCCCGTCTCTTTTCCAGGCTCGAGACGGGGGTCACTGCAAACGGGGGTCAGCCAGAGCGCCGGACCTTGCAGGATCTTGCAGAGCCAGGGTTGCACTGACCCGTTGTGGGCGCGGGATCCTGCAGGATCTTGCAGGATCTTGCACAAAAGCCTGACTGGCCGGGGTCTGGATTGACCCAGGTCAGTGATTCCCCGATCGTTCCCTTCATCCGCCCCCTCCCGCGCCTCCGCCCCGCCATCCAGAGATCCCCTTCCCCGCCCCGTTCCGCCTCCACGGCGCATTCTGGGCAGCTGAGCTGCCCTGATACGCCCGTTTTGAAACGTAACGCGTGCCGTGTTCAAAACGTCCGTGTTGACTCGGTGAGCGTTGGCTCCACGTGTTGGCCCACGTGTTGGCGAACCCAACGCGCCAAACGTACGTGTTCAATCTACGTGTTGAGCTGCGTGTCGACACGCCACGGGTTGCATGTTGCGCATCGGGGCGGCCAAGCTGGGCAGTCACCACGGACCGCCTCCCGTTCACGTGCAACTACTGCGTGAGCGGCCAAGCGACAGTCAGTGGTACAAGTCTGTCGCGTCCAAGGAGGAGAAGGCGTGCAGGCAGTAACGCGGCCTGCAGATTACGTTCCCGATTCAGGCAGGGGAGCACGAGCACAGAGGACTTGAGCCTCAGAGTGGGGCTTCCTGAACTTCCCAGACACGTGACATCCTGTAGCCATGGAGTGCTCCACGCATGTTGGCCTGCCCTGCGCTTGGAGCAACAGAGTGTCCATCCGTGGAAGCTGAAACTCGTGCACGCACCATCCCTCATCAGCAATCAGATCAGGCCGAGACGGCGGAGCGCTCGTGTGCTCCGTAGCTGTAGCATCGTCGCATCGTTCATGTGTGTCCTCTGCTGCGGCTGGTCGGTCTCGAGCATGCAACGGACGAGCCTCTGCTGCAGAGAGGGCGCGGGGGGTTACCACCCACGGCCTCCCCTGAGGCGTCCGAGCGGGTCCTGGTAGGCCTCGAGCCCGAGCGTGCCCCGCGGTGGGCCAGCGGCACGATCGGCCGTTCAACCCTCGTCCGAGCCTGCCGCAGAGGTGTTGCAGGCTCCGAGGATGACGCGGGTCTCATAGCGGGTTGGCTTCGGTGGGCGGCCAGGTCAGGGGTTCCGATTCGGGGTCTCGGTAGAAGGAGTTGGTGAAAGCTGCAGGTCGATGGTTTCCAGTTTCTTGGATTATCGGTCCGGGTCTCGGTTGAAGGAGTTGGCTCCGATCCAGCGCCCGAGTGAATCTCAGAGATACACATCGTCCGTTCAGGCATGTGATTGCACGCGGGCATGTGTCACAGGCACGAGAATAATAGGGTCACAGAGCGAGTCAATCGCCATCAGTCTGAGGTGCGCAATTTTCACACTTTGGCACGAGCGTGGGAGAGCGCACGATAGACCAGAAGCATTGGCTCATAAGGCTTTCGCCACGTCCGCGCGCCCTTTTCGCACGATCGTGCGCTTAATGTGTCGTGTAGGTTGGCTGTGTCTTTTCGTGGGGGTGCTGGTTCTGTTACGGTCGGACCGAGGTATAAGATCGAGTTCGCTTGAGAGAGGGTACCCTAGTGTTCGCGTTTATAGAATGTTCGTGTGCACCCTGGGGGAGGGTACCCTCGAATGTTCTTCAATTTGGCCAGCGGAGCATCTCGCATTTTTGAAAGATGTGATTATGTCCTATGCTTGGCCCTACGCAAGGGCGCATGCACTCGGCGCAGAGGTGCAACATCCTGGCCTCTCCGAGGCTTCTTCTTTGTATGTAGAGGCCTCAGGCCGGTGCTGCCGATCCGGGACGATCCCGCTGTCAGAAGGACGCTTTCGCCCCAGCGCGCTTGTTCAAACGTAAGTGGTTTGGAAACAGCTTGGAGGCACTGCGTGTGCTTCTTGATGGGGCCTCTACAACGCATCTTCGAGGCCTCCAGGGGGGGCGTCTTGGAGGTGATTGTTGAGCCTCTTGGGGGCCTTTTTGGTTTTTTGGGGGACATGCAGGAGGCAGCCTGGAGGCCTCCTGGGGGTGTGTAGGATGTAATTTCCAAGCCTTTGGGAGCCTTTTGGGGGCCTCTTGAGGGCCACGAGCCTCTCGGGGTTCTTGGGGACTCCTAGGGCCATTTTGGTGCCTCCTGAGCGCCTCTTGGGCCGTCTTGGGCCCCTCTGGGGCCGTCATGGAGCCCTCTTGGGCGCTTCTTGGGCCCGTCCTGGGGCCCGCTTGGGCTGTCTTGGGGGCCTTCCGGGCCGTCTTGGGCCCTTCTTGGGCCGACTTGGGGCCCTCTTGAGAGCCTCTGGGCCTGCTTTGGGGGTCTCTTGGACACTGCGAAAGCCGAAGAAGCAATAATGCAAAAACAAAAAAATCCCAGTGCGACCCTACCTAGGAGTCAGAGCCTTTCGGAAAGCAACACTAGTGATCAAAGTCGCTAATGGTCGGCGTCGTCTCTGATCTTTCTGTCGCACATTCCATGAACAGCAGATAGGGGACACCTCTTCCTGTCGAGGGTTGGGCGTCTTCGTGAGCACCGAAACTGCCGCACGCAGTTTTTGAAAGTCTGGTGTGTTACACGCAGCACCTTGCACAGTCAACCGCCGATTCACGGCCGCGATGGAACTGAACGTCCCTGCAGGTTGTTCAACACTGCTTGGAACATTGTTCTCTGCAGGATGTTCAACACTGCTTGCTGGGTCTCGTGCCTCGCCACTCGAGGTCCGTAAGAATGCCCGCATGACGCAATACACTGCTGCACGCTCTTGCGTGGCTCTGCGAGTCACGGACTTGAGGCTGAACGGCAGCGAGGATGAAAGGCATTACGACGCGGTGCTGAACAAATACATGCACACACACACACACACGCACACACACACACACACATGCAGCGTTCCACATGGGTGTTATGTATTTAAACACATATATTTGCATATAGAAAGACATTTAGGTCATGCGATAATACGTCGGGTGTCATGTCTCCCGGCCGGTGCTATGTGCGAAACCTTCGTGGATCCCAAGTATTCAAGCTGCCCCACTAAGGGCTCAAGATGGCCCACAGACGGACAACATGCATGGAACATACGTGCGCACACACACGCACACACACACACACCTATATATATATTATATATATATATATATATATATATATATATATATATTGCAGCAGCAGCAATAGTGGATGTTGTGCTGCGCTATGCTGCGCTGTGTTATGCTATGTTCTGCTATGCTATGATATGCTGCGCTATGCTACGTTGCGCTATGCTATGCTGCGCTATGCTATGCTATCATTTTGATTTGCCTACGCTTTTGCCTTCACTGTTGCCTTTGCCATTGTTTTTGCTTGGCACCCAGGGAGCGCAACTGGGGGAACCGCGCGTTTGCTTTTACCTTTGCTGTTGCTTTCGCTTGGCTCCCAGGGGACTGGGGGAACCGCCCGGGGCGATTTCCACTGCCCACCCCTTTAAGCAAAGACAGTAAGAACCCTTCTAGGCAGAGCCTAAGTAGGGGAAAAACGTTGTCCTAAGGGATCAGGACAGATTTTCCGTCACTGGGCACTCTTAGGAGGTGTCGGGAGGGTACGTTGGAGGCTTCTGGAGTAGTCTGAGGAACCTATTGAGCGTCTTGGATCGATGTTTCGGCCATGCAGGGCCCTCTTGGGCCGTCTGGGCGGCCACTGGGTTTTTTATGAGCCCGCGTTCGAGCTCTCCGGGGCGAGGGGCCGACCCGGAGTGGGCTGGAGCTCCGATTCTGCCACCAACATTGACTCGGAACCACCCCCCCCTACCCTGGCAGAGCTACCCCGGCACCCCCCCCCCAGCAGAGTTGAAGCTCAAGAACTGAAGTTCAGGCTATATTTGAGGGTCTTTGAAACTCACACGCCGGATCGGCGGATTTAGTAGGCTGGGACGACGAAAGGGAGGAGGAGGGAGAGGAGGAGGAAGGCGAGGAGGAGGAGGACGGAGGAGGACTAGGATGAGTAGGCTTCGGGCTCCCGCGGACAATGAGGACCCAGTTTGGTCCAGTCCTGGCTGCTCTTGTGGCGCCTGCTTGGGTGTTGCTGCCAAGGCTCTTTTCGTGCCGTCCGCCGTGAGCTGGTCGACGCGTGGTCAAGACCAAATTGGCCGCGCAGCCCGCGTCCAGGACTAGGATGAGTCCTCCTCCTCTTGGGCCAAAGCGTCAGTTGCTGGCTGTTTCGGCACATGCGCTACAGCGCACTACGAAGCGAATGCCAAGAGATGTCCTCGCACATCCCTCCCTCCCCCTTCCCCCTCCTCTCCCTCCTCTCCTTCTTCCTCCTCTCCCCCCTCCTCTCAACACGGCCTCCTCCTCCTCCTCCTCCTCCTCCTCCTCCTCCTCCTCCTCCTCCTCCTCCTCCTCCTCCTCCTCCTCCTCCTCCTCAGCTGCCGGTTCAGACGTGCACCGCGCGCGGGCAGCCCGCTCCAAGGTAGGAAGCCTTCCCTTTTCAGGAGCGAGGATACTGTACCTCACTTCCCTCTCTTGCAGGAGGCCCACTGCTTGC